GGCCTGTGGACACTGTCTTGCTCTTAGGAAATCCATGGGCTCTGGCAGAAACCAAATCAACTACATGACCAACAGCTAGATCTGAAAAGAAATGTCTCTCTTCATAGTTCTCAAGTGTGATTTGGAGTTAGTGAGCATCGTACCACACATAGGTTGCAGGCCATGCAATCTGCCCTACGATTTCTTAACCTTATTATTTACGTATGTAAATAGTTTCTTCCGTCACGAACTAGAACTTTTGCTTGTGAAACTTCCATCAGCGTACAATCAATACCAAGTGTCCCCCTAGAAGTCCTCCAATTCGCTCAATTATGACACAAAGGATTTAGTGTTAACACAAATGCCTCAAGTCAGAGGGCCCGGTTCCCTTCAGACACTGTCACAAGTGGGCTGAGATACGCTTAATGAATGGACAGATGGATAAATTCACTCAGAAAATGTTTATTGACTAGCTACTGCTTTCCAGCCCACTATTCTGTGGGTTGGGAATACAGTGAAGAATACCCCAAAAAGGTGTTCCCTTCCGTCATGGGACTTGCATGTCTTCTTAAAATATTCTGCTTCACACATGGGAGTTGCCCCCAAAACGCTTGTGAAATGAATGAATGAGTGAATGAATGAACAAAATAGAAGATTAAAATGTTACTTAACAATGGTTAAGATCCTTTACCATGGAAATCATACAGTAAAACCTGTAATTTTATGGAAATGGCATTACTGCTATCCCAAGCTTAGAGTTCCCAAATTTCAGATGGAAGCTGACACCCTGTGTGGGCTGGGGATTGGGGCAGTTCGAGTAAGGACTCAGTTGTTGGGTGCTGTCTAAAGCCACCCAGGGAAGTCCAGTCTAAAGCAGGGCAGGGGCTCTGGATCTGGCCCAGGAGGGAGCTGCCAACCAAGCTGCACACTGACACAGCTCTCTGCAGTGTCCAGAGTTGCTTCTAAACCGTTGAAGTCAGTCTGGTGAGACTGGTGATGGGACAAAGCAAGAATCTCGATTACATCCAGCCCAGCTGCCCTGGAGCAGAGACCTTCGGGAAGTACAGATGTAGAGGTAGCAGCTCAGAACCAGGATGTAGGCTGCTAGCATTTCATCTGGTCCAGAGGGTCAGAACCTTTCGGTGTGCCATGGATCCCCTGGGACGGACTGGTGGCGCCCATGTACCCTTTCTAGAACAATGTTTTTAAATGCTAAAGTGAAACACATGTGATTGGAAGCAAACCAATGATAGTGGATGGGATAGTGAAAAGGCGACCAAATTTTGTGACAGCAATACTTATGTGCCTCAGTTCACACTCGAGGCAAGGAAAGCGGCAGGTCAGTAACTCCCACGACCTTGAGGTAGTGACTGAGTATCTGCAGAAACATAATGAATGTTAAAGTACCTCGATGTCTACGGCGATGAAGATGTAGCTACTGCTAACGCTACTGTGCTGTGTTGGTGACATTTACAATGCAGGGAGATGCTAAATTATAGTTCAAAGTTAGTGGAAATAAAGGTGGTGAATGTTTCCTATTCAAGTTCATAGAACCCTGACTTCTAGCCCATCTTCCCTTGTTTGAAGTATGGCTATAAGAGCCTTTTGGGGTCTGTCTACAGTTGCATTAGAATTAAGGCACTATATGAAGATCGTTTTTTTTTTTTTTTTGGCAGTACTGGAGTTTGAACTGAGGACCTTGTGCTTACTAGGTAGGCACTCTACCACTTGAGCCATGCCCCCTAGCCCTTCGCACTTTAGTTATTTTTCACATTGGGTCTCGAGATTTTGCTCAGGCTGATCTTGGACTGCAGTTCTCCAATCTCTGCCTCCTGAATACTGAGTAGCTGGGATTACAGACATGCACCACCATGCATATCTGCATATCAGAGCATATGTATGCATTACAAGTTTCTATTAAATGCTATAAAAATGCACTTCATTGATTTTACTCCCTTGTGCATACAAAAGCATATGAAAATATGTGTTTGTAGATTTTTCTGGAATAAATAAGGTTAATATACCATCTTGTTTTCAGGCATGTGTATTAAGATAAAATTTAAACTGGCTGGGTGCCAGTGGCTCACAGCTATAATCCTAGTTACTCAAGGGCAGAGGATTGAGGTTGGAAGCCAGCCTGGGCGCATAGTTCATGAGACCCTACCTCAAAAAAACCATCACAAAAAAAACGGCTGGTGGAGTGGCTCAAGGTGTAGGCCTTGAGTTCAAACCCCAGTGCCAAAAAAAAAGAAATTAAACTCTGGTTTAGCTCAGATGGGAAGTAACTAGGACTCCTTAAATACCTATTATGAAGCATTGCTTTAATGAAGTCAGCACATTCTATTTAAAACAAAATAATATGGGCACAAATAGGGTCAGGTGTGGTGGTGCATGCCTGTAATCTCAGCACTAGGAAGACTGAGGCAAGAGGATCAAGAATCAGAGTCCAGTTTGGGCTACCCAGTGAAGCTGTGCCTCAAAAAAACATATTAATTGGAGTGATTGGTACAGCCTAGGGGTAGAACACAGACTTGCTAGCATGTCAGAGGCTCTGGGTTCTATCCTCAGTACCTGAGCGTATTCTTGAATGGACTGCCCTGCTACTTCACTTCCCTGGTTCCTCTCGTGCTTGTCATCAGCTGATCCCTGCACTGGGCTCTTTGTGGGTCTCCCACAGAAGGTTCTCTGGTCTGCGACTTCACCTCTGCAGGGCTTGCTACTGTTGGGTGTCAGGCAGAGAGGTAGGGTGACCTCTCACTTGTGCCCCGGTGGGTGGCGGGAGCCCCTCACCACTCCTATACACCTCAGTCACAGAGGCAGAGAGAAATTGGGGTCTGCTTGCTTGGGAAGATTCCTAACTTCAACCCTCCAGGTCAAAGTTTACGTTTCCTTAACTTCTAACACTGTGGACTCAGGAGAGATGGTCGCTATCCAGCTCCTCCCAGGCCTCCCCAAAATATTACAGTTGCCCTTGGTATCTCTGGGAGGTTGGTTCCATACTCCTCAACCATACCAAAATTCGAGGATGTTTAAGTCCCTCATACAAAGTGGCATAGTTTTTACTTTGGTAGCTCAACTGGAATGACACTGAGATTAGCATGGCAGCTGTGTAAAAATGATGTACAAATTCTTGAAACGGATCACATTAAAAAGAAAAAGTTTTGGGTGGGGACGGGGTTGAGGGGGAGAAATAATGGGGGTGATGTAATTAATGAACAATGTAAGTAAATTGGAATTGTCACTATGAATCCCCCCGTATAAGGAATATATCCTAATTTAAAAAAAAGTTGCATTGCATCTGCATATAACCCACAAACTTCCAACAGACTTTCAAGTATCCCAAGGTTTCTTACACCTACCGTGGTATAAACGCCATGTAGCTGGTGTCCTTCTGAATTGTTTTGGAAACAGGGATAAAAAAAAAAAAGTCTGGACATGCTTAATACACACATTTTTTCCCCTGAATATTATCAGTGGGCAGTTGGTTGAATTCATGGATGCGGAACCCAGGGATATGGAGGGTAGGCTGTCTTCTCTGTCCACCACGACCTCAAGTCATCAGGAGTTCGTTAGGGACCTTCCTTCTTGGTGGGATGGGCACAGTAACAGGAGTGAGTTCCCCCAATAGGGCAGCAAATGCGAAGGCAATCCAGGGAGACAACTAGAGGAGCTGAAACGAGCTGCACATGGGAAAAATCTAGAGCCCACACAGCACCTGTGGTACAGGTCCTTCCAAAGGGAGCCCTGAAAAGGTCCCCCCCACAGAGGGACAAGAAGCTCTCGCTCTGTGGACTTCAACAGCTGCCTGTGAAACCACAAGAAAAGAAGTCCCTGGCCTTTTGAGTAGAGGTTTCTAAAATGTTTTTACCTAAAACATTTTCAGAAATAGAAAATGAAATTTTAAGCAAAGCCTTAAATCATAAGAACATGAACACCACAGAAAGTGACAGCCTAAAAAAAAATCAGTTCACAATGAGACACCTTCTTTCTGAGTGTGTCTATGGAAAACACACTGATGGCGAACAGCCACCATCAAATAGATTTATACCTTGAAAATGCTAGCTAGCTGGATATTTGGAGAGATGCATACCAAATGAAGGGCAAGAACAAGGAGGGACATGCTAGAATTGCCGAGAGAAATTATTCTTGGGACAGGCAGCGTTTGAGTGGGAGGCCTTTCAGCTATCTGTGTTTTGGAACAAACCAGATTGTGCCTAAAGACATATTACGGGTTGAGCAAGGTCACTGGAGCGGAGAGTGGACCCTGCAGGATGTGCCCATGGGTCGTTCAGGATATTTATGGTCACTCTTTTACTTATACTGCTGAGAGGACAATCACTTCTTGTTTGTTCCTGAATCCTTGCTTTTGTTCTAACTTTTACGTAATATTACATTATTATAGGAAAAAACGGACACCAAGAAAGGTCAGGAACTCCGGGGAGGGTAAAATAGACCACAGAACATTCTCTATTATGAATTGAAGGTTGAGCAAAAGGAAAAACATTTGCCAAACACCTGACCTTTCAGAGCTATTTTTCCTACCCCTATGGGCCTTGGAAAGTTGAACGGCCACCGAGACTCGTCACGGGGGGAAGAACCACTTGTTTTAGGTAAGTGATGTAAATTTCACTGGCCCCAAAAAGTAGCTATGGAGAGACAACACACTTTTTTCCAAGAGGCCTGACTATGCCACGACGGTCGCAAGAGCTCACAGTTGTCCAGCTATTTCTGTGTGTGATTTGTCCCCCACATGGAAGAAGCTCTGATGGTATTCACAATTTTTCAGGAAATCGGTGTCAGGTAGCGACCCCGGCCAGCTTCACCTCCACAGTGAGGTCCAGAGAGCAGCTGTGTGTGGAGCTGACAACTTGCTGGCTGGTTTCCTAGATATGTATTTGTTTTCAAAGACTAAATAACGGTATAGCTCAGTGGCAGAGCACTTGCCTAGTGTGTGCGAGGCCCTGAGTTCCACCCCACAACGCTGCAAATAAAGACAGCACATTAAAGTCCATAGTGGAAAAATGTCACCTTTTACTTCACACGCTGGTAATCTGACAGTCCCCACAAAATAAACATCTAAAGTAGAAATAGTGTAAACTCTGCAGAAACAGAAAATAAATTACTTTCTTTCCATGTGGTGGAGGTCCTTTAGCTGAACGCTACGCTAGGTTCTGACAGAATTGGTCCTGAATGAAGAAGCGATCTTTGGTCTAGTTCACCCTTTCTCTGACATTTCATAACAAGTGTGTTCCAGTTCATTCTCTTCTCCAACTGTGGCAAAAAGGCGAGGGGCCACTTGTGTACAACGAGCCTGAAAAGACAGACAGAAAATGCATTAGAGGTTTAAGAACAGCTTTTTCCTTGGCTGAGTGTGCATGCCACCTGAGCCACACCCCCAGCCCTCCTTTGCTGTTAAATGTTGCAGTTCTAAAGTTGGGGCCAGAAGAAAAGTCAAGTGCAGAGAAGTGACTATATTCCCAAGACAAGGCCCGGGTCCCAGTCTGGAAGGGCTTCCTTCTGAAAGGTGAGAATCAGTCAGCACGGCCCCTGACCTTCCCAAGACATTCCAAAGTTTCCAGGACTTCCAGATTTGGGATCTGTAACCTGCATTGATCCTGTGAATGTGTAGGATATTAGACTAAGAATCCCACAGTGGGCTGGCAGAGTGGCTCAAATGATAGACGGGCATGAGGTTCCGAGTTCAAACCCCAGTAACATTCCGCCCCCCCGCCCCCCAAAAAAAGAAAAAAAAAAACCCAAGAAGAATCCCACTGCCTGGGATTTCTGTTCCTCTTTTATAATGGGTACAGACAGCAGGATCTGAAGATGCACATGGGACAACACAGAAGTGAGTGGACCTGGGACTTTCTCTCTTTTTTTTTTTTTTTTTGTGGGACCGAGGTTTGAACACAGACTCAGGGTCATGCCTTTGCTAGACAGGTGCTCTACTGCTTGAGCCACGCACCCAGTCCCTGACCTGAGACTTTTGTTGTTAAAGCTTTGTTGCTTTCTCTCAAAGAAAATTAAGATGCCTTAATCTTAATTAGATCTGGAATCTTGCAATCTTTTAGAAAGTGATCAGACCACATTTAAAAACATCGAGCAAGCAAAACACCTAAGTCCCAGAAGAAAATATGTTCACACTCCAGGAAAGATGTCGGGGCAAGTCTGTGGCCTTTCATCTGAATTCATACATGGAAGGATTTATCTGTGGGCCAAGAGGGTTCACTTGGCTGAAATCAGGCGAGTCGGCCTCCCACAGATAACTGAGAGGTCTGGTGGCAGGAGGATGCTTGATCAGTTCAAGATAGAAGACAGGGATTGGGGGAGGGTGTTGAGGAACTTCAAATACTCCCCTAACATCAGATTCCCAGCCAGGGGAGTAACAGAAAACAGAAGTATACAGCATAATAAACACAAACAGAAGGAAACTATTTGAAATGGTAAGAAGGGAGGTTTGCCAGTGTAGCTCTTGCCCTGTCTTAGACACGAGGTCAGCTTCACTTCAGTGCTTAGGATCCTAGGCACAGGGGCCAGTGAGTCCTGGGGATAAATCGGGGTGCTGGGCAGAGGAGGGGGGCTGGCAATGCCCCTCAGCTGGCAAGACTTCCCTGCTGCAGAGGTGGGGAGCTGTTGATTAGCCATAGTGTCTTTGTGGCCTATGGTTTTGTGTATAAAGGGGTTTAAGAGTCTGTGCACCCATATATATATATTTGGACTGGGATCTGAACTCAGGGCTTTGTACTTGCAAAGCAGGTGCTCTACTGCTTGAGCCACATCTCCAGTCCATTTCGCTCTGGTTATTTTGGAGATGAACTGTTTGCCCAGGCTGGCCTCAAACTATGATCCTCCCAATCTGAACCTTCCAGGTAGCTAGGATTACAGGCATGAACCACTGGTGCCCAGCTACAGACACACACACACACACACACACAGACATACATGTGAAAGGGTCTTGCTATGTAGCTTAGGCTAGCCTTGGGATCCTCCAGCCACTGCCTCCTGAGTGCTGAGATTATAGGAGTGCACCATTATACCTAGCTGTGTTCCCATATTTTAAGGAAACTCAAAGGGTTGGTACAAGTATACAAAGTCCAATTATACATGAAAAAAAAAAGAAAATCAAACTCAGTAACTAAGGAGAGAAGTAAAATGGAATTGTTTATTCAGTCAGAAAATATTTTGGAAGACAGAATATATAATTTTCTTTCATGCTAGAGACTGGATCCGGGGCCTTGCACATGCTAGGAAAGTGCTCTACCACTGAGCTACATCCTCAGCCCAGAATATATGAAATATTCTATTTCAGTATAAGAAAGCTAAGAAATCAAAATGTGCCCAGCTTCAAAACATCTCATTGTAGATGGAAGAGTGAATGCTCACTTTTTTGTAGTTGCCAGTGAGGGTGATTTAAGTTGTGTGTGGGCTTCCAATCTATTTGTCCTTGCCTGGGAACAGCAAAAGGAGAGGGACGTGTTCTGCCCAGGATGGCTTCTGCCCTTATTTTTTGGTGACACTGGGACTTGAACTTAGGGCGTCATGCTTGCTGAGCAGCTACTCTACCACTTGAACCACTTTGCCAGCTCTTTTTTGGGTTGGGTATTTTCAAGATAGGTTCTTGTGAACTATGCCCAGGCTGGTTTTGAACCACAATCCTCCTATCTCTGCCTCCTGAGTAGTCAGGATTACAGGGGTGAGCCATCTGTGCCTGGTGAGGATCCCCTTCCTGACCAAAATGGTGATTGTGCAATTTTTGAGCTGATGTGTGAAAAGACAAAGTTTTAAGACACAAATCATAGAGTCCTGGTGCTCTCTCCTGACACCTTGAATCTTGTGGCGTGTAAGCTGGGGTCCATCAGACCCTGTCAACAAAACAACTGGCCATCCTACTTGAGATTCACTTGTGGTTATTACGTATTTTTGAAAATTTCTGCCCTAAAGGCAGCTTAGGGGAGAAATAAGCTGGTATTTTGCTTCTTTCCATGTATGCAATTCTAGAAAGGTAATTCTTTGGTAAATAGTTAATGTTTATAGCACGACAAGAATAAATTTGATTGAGTACTGACCAGAAGGAGGTAAGGGAGAACCTGGACTCTTATTGTGGGCTCATTTGAATGAGCCCTGGAAAGGCTCAGAAATGTGATTGAGTTTCAGAATAAGAAACCAGAAAGGGGATTGACACCCACCCCCCTAAATCTAGTCACCTTCGAACAAAAGACTGAATGGCAGGTCTGATTTCATTGGGACAAAAACTTGTTTTAATTAATTCTATTTAGTGATGTCCAAAAGAATGACTCATGCGCCTATTCTAGCAATGGTGAAAGTGTACAGGAAAGTCTTGGGAGCGAGTTCTGGTGACTTCTTGGATTTCACATTCTCATTTAGTCCACGCAATTTCCTAGAAGGACAGCGAGAGAGGCAGGAAAGAGGAAGGGGAGGAAGGAAAGCAGTCATGAGCCACACATGCTCTTCCCACATCGGGCACGTACGTCTCCACCATGCTCCCGGGAGGACCATAAGTGTGCTGTTCTTACCCTGAGGGACAGAACCATCTGCAGTCACGTTCCAGCGACAGCAAAGTGAGACAGACATTTCCTTTTCTGATGCCCAAACTAGTCCAAGCTGTCCACCGGCCAAAAGGTAGCACTTTTATTTCCTGCATTTTGAGTGGCACAAGTCTCTGACTGTTAGCAGAAGTGGCCCCTGGTTGCCACAAGTGAGAGGCACAGGAAACAGAAAGAACATTTGCTGTACTGCTATATCAAGAAGTCACCAAGGGGACATTTGTTTTGTAGTGTGACTTTATCTCAGGACGCCAGATGCATTTTCAATTGTTTGAACAGGGTCAAATGATGAGTTCTGAACCACTACCCAGCACATCTACAGTAGTATTTAGCAATTTACAAAGAAAAAGCTTTGGCCAATGACAAATGCCATTCAAGTGAGAATTAAGTAACAGATAGTGCTCTTTACACTGACTAAAAAGAACTCTGACAATGTCATTGCTTTTAATAACCAAATAATTATCTTTAGTTCATAAGAAAAAAAACTACACCCTAATCTACTCAACTATTTGGTATTTTTCAGTGTAAGTCCAAGTGGCCTGTGACTGAAATTAGGACTTCCTGTGGTTTGAGGCATCAAAATCTGGGTTGAATTTGACTTTGTGGTCATTAGCTGTCCAACTTGAGCAGGTTGTTGGCCTTTCTGGGGCAGTGTTTTCCCAGCTGTGAAGTAAAAATGCCAATTATCTCCCTGGGTTGATGTTAGCACCACAGTGACAGGGGAGGCAAAACATCCCATGGTGGTGGTGAAAAGGGAGGCAGCGCTGTGCAGTGGTTTGCCCTGCAGTCCAGTGGTCAGGGCCAACCCTCCAGAAGCCTCTGTGGCCTATGGGACAACACTTGTGTCTAGGGGAGCTGTGACCACCTGTGTGAGGGACTCAGAGCAGGGCCAGGCATGTGAGAGGTAAGTACCAAAGCCCAGAGTCTTGACCACCGCCTCCTGCTCCATCTTCAGATAAAATCTGCAGGAAGTACTTCTTAAGGAACACAGAAATCATAAGTAATACAGGTTCAAGTGCAGGCATTAGTACAGCAAAGGTGACATCCCTCGGATGACTGAGTTTTAGCTGCAATCACGAAGGTATAATTTGGGTTCATATGACCTGCTTCGAGAGCAAATGACGATTGACCAAAAAGCTGGAAAAACACTATTCAATAGAAATGGGAGAATTGTATACATTGTTCTGAAGACAATTGACAAATGACACTAATGTCCCATACAGGATCCCTGACATGAAAAGAGATTAGTTAGGACAAAGGTCAGTTTTCAGTTGAAAAGGAATGATATTGTTATTTTCCCAAGGCCTCCAATGAGAAATCCAAGACACTCACAACAGAGCCACAACAAAAGACCAAAACAATGCTGTTACCAAAGCTCCAGCTTATGGGTTTCTTTGTGACACTAGTCACCCGATTTCATTTGCTGGAGTTTTCTTTTTTAGAAAAGATGAAGATAAAACACCTGGTTGTGGCTAAAAAAGTTAAAAGAGTGCTCACTTCTTAGCAACAAAAACATATAAACACCAAAGACCACCTCACAGCACAAAACGAGTGACTTTGTTTTAGTGTGATTTCATTTAAGTGGTTCCCTCCCTTTTCTCATCCTAGCCTAGGGCTTCTGTGCTTTAGTAAAAAAGACTTAGGGGAAAAAAAGCCTTCCATGTTGACTCCTGGGGTGAAGCCATGGCAACGGGACTCTGCAGACTTAGACCCCAACTCAGAGATGCTGAAGGGTCCGTAGGTAGAGCAAGCTCATCTGAAGGCCCCGAGCAAAATGACGGCAAGAGGTGGGGGCTCCAGGCTGAGGAACAGGAGCGAGTGGGGAGAAGGAATTGGGGGAGTTTAGGGAAGGACTGCACCCTGAGAACAGGGTGAGTATATCTGACAGATGAGATGGGGAAGGTAGGCCCCAGTCTTTGAAACTTGTGACTGGGCATTTTCTGGGAGGAGGACTGGGAGTGTGGTCATTTCCTTCATGACAGGCAGTAAGAACAAAGGCCATCAGGTGTGTGGCTACAGCACGAGGGGAGGCCAGAAGCCCTAGTCTGGGTGGCCTGAGAATCTGAGTCAAGATCCCCTTCTCAAACTGTGGGGACCATAAGCCATCAAGTATCCTAGTTTCTGCTGTCTTGTCCCTCCCGTGCCTCGTGGGGTCCCAGAGTGGGAAGGACTGCCCATGTGGACATGTCTCTCTAGCAGCAGGAGAGCCCAATACTTGTAGACTTGTGTCCCCCAAATGAAATGCTGGAGTCCAAACCCTGGGCACCAGTGGCAGTGAACTGATTCAGAGATAAGGTCGTTTGCAGCTGAGGTCATTAGAGTGGATCTGAATCCAATATGGCTGGTGTCCTGACAAGAAGAGAAGGCCATGTGAAGACAGATACACCCAGGGAGGACAGCAGGTGACCACAGAAGCAGAGGCAGAGGCTGCAGTGATGCAGCTGCAAAGTGGGAGTGTCCTGTGGCATGGAACCTGCTTGCCTGACACCTTGACTCTGACCTTCTAACCTCCAGGACTGTAGTACGTTGTTACGGCAACCCTTGGCAAGGAACACGTCAAGACTGACCTCACCACGGTTCTAACTCTGTATGGTAGCAGCTAGGAAATTCCTCTTTTAAATGACAGCAGATACTGTTTTTTCTTTCAGTACTGGAGATCAAACCCAGGGCCCTGTGTATGCTAGGCAAACACCTAGTCACTGAGCTACATCTCCACACTCAGATATTGGATTTAATTCTGGAACAAGGACAATTACTTTGCAGGGCACCTTTGTTACAATGCCAGAGTTGGCACCATTTGACTTTCACAGGACTCAAATCCAGTTACACTGACAGTCTGTTGACTGACCATCTAACTGCATGTACCCATCCAAGAGAGTACCCAAGTCACAGCAGCCATTTGGAAGAAACTTGTAGTAACTAAAGAAGGAAATTACTTACCTGGTCACTTTTTACCAAGTATCAGAAAAACAAACAAATTAAAAAAGCATTTGAAATGGGGGGGAAAAAAGGAAGAAACAATAAAGACACAGCTTACCTGGATTGGGTCCTGTGAAGGCCTTGTTCCATTAGAACAAACCTTTAACTTGCTCTGTTTCTGTATCAAGGTCAATGTCATAAAAACAGGGCCGAGTGGGCAGCCCAGGCATCGTGCTCATCTGGAGGAGAGAAGAAAGCACTGTGTCAGCGCTCAAGGAACACCCTGAGGGCAGTGAATGTGGGGCCATATGACAAAGCTACCAATGGAATAGTCTGTCATAGCCCACCCACCACCTGTACCACAGGGTTGTTGACATACTACTTCTACAGACCTGAAAGTTCAACTCTCCGCTAGTCACTCTTAGCTGATGAGTGGCCAAGGCTGACAAAGGCAGGGTGTGATTTGTGTGGTTCCTGGAGTCAGGTCTGTCTGAATCAGAACGTGCCTTTTGGTCATTCTGTCTTAAAATTGGGAGGCAAAACTACCCGGAGTACAAGATATCTTTCCTCTATTTCAACTCATTTATTATTTTTTTTGTTTGTTTTCTTAAAGTACTGGGGATTGAACCCTGGGCCCCGTGCATGCTAGATAGTGCTCTACCACTGGACTATACCCAGTCCTCAACTTCTTTCTTTCAAGTGGGAGAATAAGGAGTTTAATCAGACAATTCCCATGTCCTTTTCCAAAGACAGGATCATACTTCCAAGAATCAGGCCGGCTTGTTTGGGAGGAGCCACAGCAGACAGAAAGCACAAAATCCGAAGAGCCAAGAGACTCCCTGACCTGTGAGTAAACAGCCCTCGCCAATAAATCCACTTTGAAAATAAAACTCCTCCTGCCAAGCAAACACACTATAGAGTTATGTTAACAAGACCTTGTATACACACCCTAAATTCTCTACCAAGAAAAAACTGTTACAAATGACTGGAGCCCCCAGACAAGACTCAATATAGGAAATAAAAGAACCCAGAGAGCCTTGGGAGTTGACCTCTGGGCACACACCAAGGGTCAGTGGGGCTCTGTGTTGACTTATCTGTGTGCCTGAGGAAGCCTTCAGCCTAAAATAACTAATGAGTCTCTAAATTGTTCTTGCTTGTCATGAGGCAGTAATGGATTCTTTTACAAAGGCCAAAAACATGGGCTCTCCACCTTCATCACCCTGATTTTTACTATGGTGAACCTTCCAAATACTTAGTGATGGTGGGTGAACCTTATTTTGAAAAAACCATGAGTTCTAGCAATAGCCTTTATGACCACATGTTAAAGACCAGTAAAGACAAAATGGCCATATATTTAAGAAGCAAAAGAAAAAACAGCTAGGTGTGATGGTACACACCTGTAATCCCAGCTACTATGGGGGTGGAGACTGGAAGGATCAAGGTTCAAGACAGCTCAGGCAAGATGTTGGCATGATCTCAACACATAAGTTGGATGCTGGGCGTGGTGGCTTGTGTCTGAATTCCAGTTATGTGATAGGCGTAGTAGGAAGACCATGGTCCAAGGAGAGCCCTGGCAAAAATGCAAGACTCTGAAAAATAAATAAGCTACCAAAGGGCTGGGGGCATGGCTCGAGTGGTAGAGCACCTGCCTAGCAAGTGTGAGGCCCTGAGTTCAAACCCCAGTACCACAAAAAAAAAGACAGACTATTCTTGATATGTACGGAAAAATGATTATGAGTTCTGTCTCATAAGTAGTTTTAATTTCTACTTAACCAAAATATCACTGTGATTAATGTTATTGTGTTTGTGAAATAATCCATTTTCTGACTTCTCCTTAAACCTACTTACTTTTTTACTGCTCTGATAGCATTTCTATGCACACTTATTTCTTCCTACACTTCATGATCTGATATCTTTCTCTCTCCTGACAGGTGGCTGATAAGTGTACCCAGCCACAAGTCACCTGTGCTTAACTTCTGCCTTTCCTTGTGGAGGTCCTGAGCCACTACTGGTGTCAGCTGGCTGAACTCATGAATCATTGGTTTGCTCGGACTCTTTGAAAAAAATTTTTTTATCGTGCCTCAATTTACCCTTCAAATACAACATTATGATAGGATTTAAGTAAATAAGATGTTCTTTTTAATGACAGAACTAAAAAAATCCAACAGCTTTATTAAGAGGGTACTTTTTGAATTGTTAATATAGTGTCTGGCAATGTCAGGCCCTTAATAAATATTTTTAAATAGATGGGTAAACATGGAGGGTAGTTAGAGAAAGAACACAGACACACAAAAAGTTTGTGTCTTGGGGATTAGGCCTTTTCTTTCTCTTCCTTCCTTTTTCCCTTTGGATGTGGCGGACAGTATTGGTTAGAGAAATGGTCATTGAGGTGGTCATTTGAGTAACACTGAGATGAAGCGTGAGAAGTGACCCCATGAAATGTCAAGTGACTGCGGGAAAGGAGTGATATTAAAGTCATCATAGTGAAAACAGATAGTGCAAGGGGGATTTCTATTTGTTTCACACAGTAGTGATGGAATGTTCTGGAACTGTTTTCCTGAGCAGTTGGTACCATCTCCCGCACTGAAAAGGAGACATGCACTTGGTGGTGAGGGCTGGGTGCACAATGTGATCTCCTTGCAGAGTTCAGGTCCTTCGTGGTGTCCGACCAGCCCCCACTATGATGCCCTTGGGTGCCTGGACTGCAGGAAGGGACACAGCAGTGGTTCGTGCAACTCAGCAACCTTGGCTCAGGACTCCCTGTGAGGACACCAAGGTGGTCAGCACCTGGTCCCTGCTTCCAGGGGCAGAGACCACATAGAGTGGACCCTGGGACTTGGGGCAAGCCATGCTTTACGTTTTAGCTTTAAAAGGCACCGCAGGGGCTGCAGGCGTGGCTCAAGTGGTAGAGCACTAGCAAGCATGAGGCCCTGGGTTACCTCCCCAGTCCCACAAAACAAAAAGAAACAACAAACAAAAGCCTTACAAAACAGTTCAGCATAGAAGCTGCAAAGGCCCTCTTCTAACACTGCTTCCTAGAAGTAAGCGCAGTTAACAATTTCTGTAAACTCCGGGCAATTTTCTATTCCTGTATACACAACGTGGCTGTATGTTGTGTATGCCTACAGATATGTACAGAAACTGGAAAATTCCACATGCATAGTTCTGGAATTTGCTTTGCAGGGAGATTACAAACTAAAATTGGTACATGGGGTAGTTTCTAAACAAGAGAAGGCGGCTGGAGGTGGGGGAGGCAACAAGAACTGTCACGGCCGCGTACCTGCGCACGCGGGCGCGGGATGCCTGGCTCTGCCATGGGCACGTTCTGTGCGTAAAGCAAGTAGGCTTGCTTCTTGGAGAATGAGACCGGCTAGAGGGACAGACAGATGTGAACTAGGAGGATCTGACTGCCCGGATGTAGACGGAGGAAAGGAAGAAGTTCCACTTTACGATTTTAGTCTTGAGTTCAACTTTAATCGTTGTTTACGATATCCACACCTCCCACTTGGGATCGCTCCTTTCCAAGCTACATCTGAAAAACCAGCCAGAGCGGTGAGTACAGCGTAAGACTACGAAACCAAGTATTTCTAAAACGATACAAAGACTTCCCTACCTGGAGGCTTTCCATAGCGGAACACGCAACTAGGACCGTGCAGGACCTGTACACCCTCCACATGTCCTCCCCCCCACAAAAAAACCAAACCAAAACAAGCAAACAAACAAACAAAAAAAAACCCAAAGAAAAAACCCTACGTTGGCAATTTCACTTTGGCTGCTAATCCTAGAGGTCTGCAAAGGACAGTTCTAAAGCACAGCCACCATTGCTAGAACAGTCATTTACATTCGAGTCTCTATTCATTCCCCCAAGATACTTAAAGGTCACCAGGACAGCCATGAAGTTGTTTACGGGTCATTTTTCATTTTCCCAGTGGAGTGCCATGGAGCGACTTCCCGCCTTTTTTCCTCATTGAGGAAAGCTGTGGACAGGCTCCCTGCTCCCACCTATGGGGGGTGGAGATGGCTCAGGGCCTGGGCCAACCAAGTGCACCCAAGTGCACAGCTGCAGGTGGATCTCTACAGTCTTGGGGGTGGGGTGTGTGTGTGGGGGAGGGTAACAGGTATGAGTTCAGAAGTGGGGTGGTGGAAAGGGCGGGGCCAGCCAGGTGAGGCCTGGTCCTGACTCTTGTCTACTGCAGTTCCACTGAGCAGGATATTTACCTGTGTGTACAGCAGGAGTGTAACAATGCCTACATTTTGGAGTCTATTTCAAAATTCAAATGAGATAAAGTGAGAAAAGCTTATTCCTCAATACTTACTGTGTTATTTTATTATAGAATTACCCGGGTGGAATGAGAGGAAGTTATTTATGATAGAAACGGAAACAGGAAACTCAAAGGCAAATCCGTTTGCTGACTAACCTGTTTCTTTAGGGAAAAGGGGGTTCATTAGTTTTATGGGACAGTTCCCTAGTTTTCCCAGCTCTACAAATACCTTAAAAAGTCATACTTGCAGCTGGGGGCCAGTGGCTTACACCTGTAATCCTAGCTACTTGGGAGGATCCTGGTTTGAAGCCAATCTGGGCAAAAAGTTAGTGAGACCCCTCATTTCAACCAACAGCTGGGTGCAATAGCGCGTGCCTGACATCCCAAGCTACATGGGAGGCTGGGATGAGGAGGCTCATGGTTCCAGGCCAACCCAGGCAAAAAAATTTCCTGAGATTCCATCTCAACTGAGAAAAGCTGGGCGTGGTGGTGCATTCCTATCATCCCAGTGACAGCAGAAGTCATAAATCGAGGATGGAGGACCAGGATAGCCTAGGCAAGAAGTGAGACCCTCTCTTCAAAATAACCAGAGCAAAAGAGGTCGGGAGGAGCGGAGAAGGGTGTGTGGCTCAAGCTGCAGAACACCTGCCGAGCAAGCATGAAGCCCTGAGTTCAAAACCCACTACCACAAACCCTCCCCACTGAAAAACAAAACAAACCACACCAAAAAAGTCCCACTCAGCTGGGGTGTAGCTCTGTGGCAGAGTGTGTGCTCAACACACAGGAGACCCTAAGTGATCCCCAGCACCAAACAGACCAAACCCGACTTAACCTAACCACACTGTAGTTCCTATGGTGATCAAATCAAGACTGAAGGCCAAAGTATTCAAGTAAGCGGGGCCAGCTGTCATGGAGGACAGACTGTGGTCAGAGAGACCTCCAGAAGCGTGCCTATAACCTAACACCAGGCACGATTC